TACCTGTAATTTGCTGAAGGTAGCAAAATACTAAATATGAAAAGTAGGTATTCCAAAAATCACAAAAAAGAAACTAAATTGATGTATTGATCAACCTAAGGTTTCGTCAAGATTTGTGCCTTCTAGAGTGTTGAAAGCTGAAATTGAACTCGTTTTCAAGAACAAGGGCAATAACTCATACTTATTTTTTTTGATCTTTCTGATTTTAAATATGGTCCATCCTTGGGTGATAACAAACACTCAAACAAAGTTTCATCAAAACCCTCAAGAATTGTGCTTTCTAGAGTGTTTACGAGCAGTAGTATATGTCTTTTCGGATATGACGCATTTCACTTCTGCGCATGCGCAGCTTTTTCATATCCGAAAAGACACAACTGTTAAAATGTATTATAACAGACTCCCCAAACTGTTAAAAATGTATTATAACAGACTCCCCAAACTGTATTATAACAGACTCCATATAAATTACCCAAACCACAGACAAGAATCACTATAATAATACAGTAAAAAATAACCGCATTAAAAATGTCTTTAATTTTAAAACACGAACAAAAAAAATTCGAAGGAGACGGTTTCTTCTCTGCGCTAACATCTCTCATCCCCAAAGTGGCGAATTTTGTCTCAAACAACAAATCCCTCATTTCCTCAGAAGCGCAAGCTCTTGGATCTGTGGCAAAAGCAGGAGTAAATATAAGCGATGCAGTGAAAAAATCTGACGAACTTAAAGAACTGCAGCTAATAAGAGAACTAATAAACAAGAGACTAGAACGACAAGTCCTAGAAAAACAAGGAAAAGGGTTTAAAATCATTGGATAAAAATGGCAAGCAAAAATTACAGATTGGATCCAATCTTTCAATTGTATGATCCGATTCAATATTCGTTCAACAAGAAGAAAGAGGATTACGTAATTATCTCACCATCGATAGGGACAAAGACCCAAATAACCGACGGAGGAAGAGTTACCTTTGAAATTGATTCGTTGTCCAATTGGTTGCTGCTTTCCGATGCCCATTTCCGATGCGATTTCAAAATCAAAGACGCCACTCAGAATCGAATTCCACAAACCAACACGACTTTAGAAAACAACTTCTTTCCGTCTTTATTCAGCGAAATGGTTTGGAAGCTGGTTCAAATCCGATAGAGACCATAAAACACCCCGGCGAGTTTGACACAATGTTGAAAACGATTCTGTATCCCAAAAACTACGATTCAGTTTCGGGATGGATTCCCGGTCAGAACTGTAGCAAATGACTCAGACCTTGCTAGGATAAGGGTAGTTGCTAGAAACACACTGGAAAGAGTGACTCGCGGAGTAAATCACGGATTTGAAAAACGAGCGCTTCAATACAACAACGTTGTCGAGAACAACAGATGGGGTAATTACGTTAATTGGAAGTTGTATCCTTTATTTGGTCTCTTGGAACACAGAAAGGTTTCCATAGGTTTACCGTATAAAATTCATTTGCAAAGAGAAATCAATGACAACAAGATATTCTTTGGTGAAAACAACTCTGACGATAAATTGGAAATAACGAATATCCAACGTTACATACCGGTAATCACTCCTTCCGTAGAAGTGGAAACGAGAATATTCAACTCTTTAACCAAAGACATCGAAATTGCTTTTCTTCGTCGTAACACGGTAGGTAGCATGACTTTAACGGGAGAATCCACCACGTGGCCAATCACCAACACCGTCAAACCAGCGAGATATCTAATGGTCGGTTTCAAAAACTTGCCAGACTCTCAGACAAACAACATTTTCAGAGTGGCATTGAACCATACTCAAGATCCCATCATTCGCAAAGTTCAAGTCAGATTGAACAACGATAATTATCCCAATCAACCTTTAACAATTGATCCTTCCAAAAAAGATTACAACGAATTGTACAGAAACTATAAAAACATGTGCGAATTGTTTGGAAATACGCCTCAGTTTGAATACACAGATTTTTCACTCAATCATCCAATCTTTTGTTTCGATCTGTCAGCTCATCAAGAAGATCTTTTCAAAACAGGGGTAAACATAAATATTCACATCGATAAAACACAAGGAGATGTGACCGGCTACTGTTTATTGCTGGAAGAAGCAAAACATTTGATTAAAATATCAGATAGAAGAATGATAAGAATTGAATAAAAAAACATCCTTTAAAAATGAAACCAGAAACTTTAGTTATGAAAATAATAGAAGCTATGGAAACGAATTCGCCGACTCTAATAACTTACAACGGTAAAAAAGTGCATATAACCCAAAAGATTATCGATAAATACAAACATTGCAAAGTCAGAGACGATATAGACTTGGAAAGAATTGATGAGAATTTAACTAAAAAAGGTGGATTTTTACCTTTCTTACCTTTAATCTTTGCTGGTGCAACTGCTGGTGGAGCTGCTGGGATAGCCAAAGCTGTCAACGATAAGAAAGCTGAAGCCGCTGCAAACGCCGAAGCACGTAGACACAATTTGGCAATGGAAAGAGAAGCACGAGGAGGTTCGGGAGTAGGAGATATATTAGGGACAGTTAAAGAATTCGGACAAACATTTGGCGAAGAAACCAAGAAAACCGTTAAAGAGGGATTAAGCAAATTAATAGATAAAATCGACACCGGAGAAATGAAGGTCAAACACAAGGGCGACGCCCTATTTTTTTAAAAACATACGTTCGGGCGAGGGAATCTTCCTTTCAAAGTATAAAGGCAACGGGATGGTTTTTGGTACGAAAATGTAATAAATAAAAATGGGCAAGAAATTTAATCATTCGGAAATATTTCCTAATAACCCAATGCTCATGTGTATATGCGGTAGTTCAGGTTCTGGGAAAACTCATCTCACTTTTAACATGTTGACAACACCAAACCTTTTAGATTTCGATTCTCTGTATATCTACACAACAACACCAGAGCAATCGTATTATCAATTCCTCAAAGCTTTGGAATATTTACCAAAGAAAGATGTTCAAGACATATTTCAATATTACGAGGAAAACGAAGAAAAAGTGGAAATAAAAGATATCATAGAAAACTTCATTAAATCAAAGAATCCATCTTTCAATCCAACGGATATAAAAGTTTTTCTTACGAAAACTGTTAATGATCTAGACTTGTCTAATATTGATAGCAATCGAAAGAACTTAATATTGTTTGACGACTGCCTAGCGCAAAGAAATCAAACTGTTCAACAAGAATTCTTCACCAAAGGAAGACATCACAACTGTCACTGCATATACCAATCCCAATCTTTTTACGGGATGGATTCTATGTTCATTAGAAAAAATGCAAATTGGTTTTTATTATTTGAATTAAACGATAAAGATTTATCTCAAATCATTCAGTCTATAAATCACGGAATGGATAGAGATACATTTAAAAAGGTTTGTAAAGCTCAATGGAGAAACCCAGATGATCATGGATATGTATTTGTAAATACTAGAAAACCTGCGGGAGAAAGAGTTATGATCGATATATGTTAATTTTATTTTTTTAAAAATGACGGATTGGAATAATTTTTTAAAAAGAAATAGAGAATATATCAAAGCTAAGAATAAAATAAAGACCCAAGTTGAAAATAACAGATTACAACAACTCGGATTAACGGAAAATCTACAGACTCTATTTCAACCCATATTAAAATCTCAAGAGGATATTAAAAAGAAATTAGCTTTAGAACCCACACCTCATATAGAACCCAAACCGATTGAATATAATGGTATTATAATTAGGACATTAGATGATATAAATCGTCTTTTTTCAAACCCTGACCCAGATTTACCAAAGAGCATTTCACCAATCGTTGATAATCAAGGTTTATTGTTTAATGGATTTAGAATTATATTTAGTGGAAATTCACCACAATTCAAAATCGACACAAAAGATTACATATACACATTAACGAAAGGATTAATAGATTTAATGAATGGCAAGGATGTTGGTATTGGCGATTATAAGGATTTAGTAGCATACTCCAAATTTTTAGATGCAATAAGAAAATCAGGACCCGAAACAAGAAGATTGAAAGAAGTTAAACTATATAAAAGAGTAATTGAGCAAGATGAAGAGGATGCAGATGATTATCCAATCATACAAGAAATAGACGAATTCGATGATATGGTGGCATCTGGACAAGGTATAACGTTTTTATCCGACGACAATAAAGAATTGTTTAATAGATTAGAAATAATATTAGCGGCCATGAAGGAAGGTCATCGATCGGACAGACAATACAACGAAGTCAATGCCATATTAAAACGACTTTTGGAGAAAGAAATCATCACTAAAAAAGACTATATAAACGTCATTAAAAATGTCCAATAAAGAACAATTGTTCGTTATCACCTCGAATAAACCAGACATCAAATTGTCTCTAGACTACGAGTATGAACTCGATCGCAATAAACAGTAAGAACTGGGATTAAAGTATTTCTCCGTTTACAATTCCATTAGAAACATCAACGAAAAAAACAATCAACTAAAAATATCGACGGATAACCGAGTTACGTTCGAAACCATAAGCTTACTACCGGGGAGCTACGAATACGTAGCCATCAACGAATACCTATCCGAATACGCAGGAAGCGTGAACGGCAAAAACAATATCGAATTCGAAGGTAATTTGAATCTGAACAAAATAAAACTGATCTTGAGAAATAACAAGTCGATTTCAACGTAGAAAATTCGTTGAATGCGTTACTGGGGTTCGATAAACGAATATACGCGCAATCGACATTGGCGCCGCACAAGGCCAACATCGAGAACGACATCGACGTGATCAACATTCACTGTAATTTGATCAACGGTGGATTTTTCAACAAGCACAAACGCCAAATCATATACAGCATACCGACTTTTACGGTGCCGATAGGATACAGAATTATAGAGAAACCGTTTCAAACAACCTATTTACCAATCAATTCTTTCATGATCAAAGATATAAATCTGGAAATGAAAGAAGGTAAAAACAGGTTCATAGACTTTGGCAACGAAGAAATTGTCATTCAACTTCATTTAAAACAATCTTCATTCTCTTCTTGATTAGAAAGATAATCGAAATCATCAAATTCATAGTTTTCGTCAAAACTATACTCATCTTTGTCGTTGTAAGGATACATAATTCCTTCACTGTTTGGTGGTTTTCTTTTAACATTATTCAAATAACTTCTAAAAACTTTAGTTTGTTTATCATTTGGAATAACTACTCCATTGGTGAAACTTTTTTCCCATGGTTTATTAAATTCGTTCGACACATCATGTCCGCTTGCTAACTGAACGTAATCTTCTACACTTATCTTATCATTAGAATAACCTTTAAACGTTTTCTTTTCTTTTAAGACACCATCAGAAGTCAAAACGATGTTGTATTTGACTTTTGGTGCTAAATATAAACCAAATATAATTCCACCGTAATCGTTTTTACCTTTGCAATAGTCTTTTTCGGAGACCAAACCAGCTCTGTTTAGTTTTTTCCAATTTTTGGATGAAATGTACAAACTATCGGTGTCGGTATAGTAAATTTCGGGTTCATAAAATCCATTTATGACGTGAATGAAATTGTTCATTATTTTTTTACTGTGAGATAAAACAAATGATCCCAAATGACTAGGTGTTAGTCGTGTAGATTTACTATCTTCGGTAGTAATCTCTTTTTCTTCAATTTCTGTTTCAACAATATATTGAGTATCATTAATTTTCTCATAGGTTTTAACGCGTGAATCAAAGTTGGCCTGTAAAGTTGCTTCATTCCATAAATGTCTAGTTGTGAATATATCTTTCTGAATTGATTTACCATACAAGGAATTACCTAATAATTTCATGCAATTACTACCCACGATATTACCTTCTTGTTTATATTTATTTCTTAAATCTCTCAAAATTAAAATATAATCTCTATAGGGTGGAGTTTTAAAATTTTCTTCGTAAACTATACCATCTAATATTCTAATAATTCGTCCACCGGCTTTCACTATTTCTTGAATATCGACCGATGTTAAAACGTCGTGACAGAAACCATTTCTGAACCCGATTTTGTTACCAGTTTCCTTTTTACCTTCTTTATTCGTGAAAGTGATTTTATCTTTAGCTGGTATCGGTTGGAAGAACATGTTTTTGGGATAGTCAAACCACACTGTTAAAATAGCTGTTCTAGGTCTGAATTTTTGTTTATTGAAGAGTTTTACAAATTCTTTTTCTTCTGGTAGAAACGGTCTTCCACTTTCGGCTCTCGGATATTCACTGTCTAAATCCGACATGGCGGAAGTGTATAAACCGTTAGCATCAAATGCCATTAGTTTAGTACATTCTATTTTTTTAAGTCTCGAATGAACCTCCGTTTTGTCTTTTGTGCTTGCGCTGTATTCTTTGAATAAATCAATTATGTTATTACTTTCTGTTTGTGAAATATATTCCTTTAATACGTTACAAATTTCATCCATTTTGTTCGTTTCAAATGATTTTCTATTTGCCGAAACTCTTCCTCCTTTAATAGATCGTCTGATAAAATTTCTTATAAAAGGATTTGTGTGCGAATAAACTTTTTCTATATTTTCTTTTTCGGTATGTTTAGCAACCATTCGGTAGTTTCATACCATTCTTCTTCCACCATTTCTTTATCGTAATGATATAAATAATACCATCCCTTTAAAGATAAAGATGGAGCCGTAAGATTATTGGACATATTCTGGTTTACAACTTCTTTCGTGACTTGGTTGTATTTTATCAAACAAGCTCCCAAACAGAGAGTGTCTCTCTTGGCGTAAGGTTCCCATTCGTGTCTCAATTCCTCCCAGTTGTCTTGCGTGTATTTAGCGATATCTACGTCGGCAATCTTTCTCAAATTCGCGGGAAGATTGGAAGAATTTCCCCATGCAGTCAAACTAGAGGATTCGTGTTGATAGGAAGACGTGAAATTAATATGTTGTAAATAATTACCCTTTATTTCTTTCTGTCTTTTCCATTTTTTCTGTAAATCTTCATCCGTGTATGGATTAGATAAAGGAAAAGATAGAATTCCTCTGGGTGTTTTTAAAGGGCAATGCGTTAGTTTTTTTGCATTTTTAAGCATGATCCAGTTGTCGAATCCACTGCCGTTATGAGAAATTAACATTTGATCGATGCAATCTGTACCTACAAATATTTCTACTACATTCATTAGTTTATCATAAAATTCTTCTGGAATGGGATCTGACGACTTTAAATCTGGAAAGAGATTATTTATTCTGTTTAACATTTTCCTTAGTTTTTCTAAATTAATTAAAGTGCAGGCATAAGGAATTGCTCTTCGCGTGTCTTTTTCTGAATACGTTTCGCAATCCCAAGCGAATAACGCATCATCACTCATACTTGAAAGCACGTTTAGTTTGAGAGGTGAAACCTGTGTTACTGCGTTGTCGTCTCTACACGTTTTCCACACCTGTTCGTAATTGCCTTCTATTTCTTGAATTCCCAAACTTTTTTGGCTTCTTCTAATCAAACAGGAATGCGAGTTGTGTAAGTAAAAAACCCAATCTAATTCATCGTGAACGTCTCTGGTTGAAAATGTCTGTTTTTGGGATTATAAATTTGAAACGAAGTGTTGAATTTCTTGTTGAATTCCTTCATTCTAGCACAAGTCATCACTCCTTTTCTATTTGCTTTTGAAAACCCGTTGATGTATTCTTGAAATTCTCTCGTGTAGTCTTCGTTTAAAACACGATTGACGCATTTGATAAAACAGTGACCATCTGTAGGTTTTCGCCTTCGTATTCATTTATCTTTTTAAGTAAATCAGTTCCTCCTCTACCAACTCTCGATCTTTTTATTTCTTGGAAATTGTCTTTCATTAAAATTATTTTTCCTGTAAAATACCAATCGGAAGCATCGGATTTTTTGTCCATATTTGAAAAGATATTGTGAAAAGTTTTGGCATTGAAACCGAGGAGTGACATGTATTGTCTGTGATTCCCTTCCTCGACTATCTCTCCATCTATTTTAATTTGGCCTTTGAATGTTTTAAATTTATCAGAGATAGCCTTGATAACATCGGAAAATAGGGCGTTTTCTATCAATGTTTCATCAAGTTCGATTTTATTCATATTTTTTTAAGTATATATTTTTGATTTTTCTTTATTTTGACCGCTGATATTTCTGTATGGAATTTGTCCAAAATTTCATTGAATTCTTGTAATTCAACAACTGTTATGTTCTTGTCTTCTCTCGATCTTTCGAAAAAGATGTACAATTGATTAAGATACATATTCAAGATATATCAAGTCATATCCAAATCTTTGATTCCAATGATATCCTTATCATTTTCTACTTCCATTTTAAAGGTGTCTACATATTTACCATTTTTCGTTTCAATTTCCTGATCCCTTTTATCAATCAAACGTATATTCTCTTCCAAATTACCATCATTGAATAATGAAATATGTTTGACGCCCTTACCGGTTTGTTTGAAGACTACTTTATTGACTTTAACCTTCATGGGAAACTCTTTTTGAATCAGACAATTACCTCGAAAAGAAAACTCTTGCGTTTCGCCGATATCGAATACGTTTTTAGGTTCACCATATGCGAGAGAACCCACTTTTATTTCTGCTTTGAATCCGTATTTGTTTGATTTATAAATTTGGTCTTTTCTATCGAAGACAGTGTCACTTTCGAATGGTAGATTGAAATAATACGATTTGTCCGTGACAATAGCTTCTAATTTGCTCAACTTTCTCTCTCAAAAAATCGTCATGAATTCTTGATACCAAAAGATTGACCTGTTCTTTAATATAATTTTTCATATCATCTCGAAATTTATTTTGAAGAAAGTTTTTAATCACACCCACTTCTTTTTCTAATTCGTCCGTGATTTTAGTATCCAAAGCAGTCAATTGTCGTTTCAACGTATCTTTGTCAATGGGAAGTGTGTTAATTATATCTTGAACATCTGATCTTTGCTTCGCGATCTTCGTTCAAATTAGATATTTTTGTAACTCGGTTTTGTCCGCGGTCTTGTCTAGTTCTGCTAGCAATTCGCCAAGTTTTCTTTCCAAAGCGGTTTCAATCTATCCTCGTTTACATTTGGGTTGTCTATTAAACGTTGGACGTCTATTTTTACCTTCGTAATCTTATCGTCTAATTTAGATATTAAATATTGCAACTGACTTGTTTTATCCACTTGAATAAGACGTTTCAAACTCGTTACCTCTTGTTGTAGTTTGGGTTCGTCCACAAGATTATTAATATTTCGTCTGATGAATCTTTTCACGTCATTTATTCTATTTTCAACATGGTCCTTATCTATTTGAATTGCGTTTATTTGATCCAGTAAATATTTCTTGTTCACGGCATCGTTATCGTTTCCTGGAAACTTTAAATTAGTTATTTTGAAATTGTTCATATCGATATCTCTTTGTAAGGTGTCTCCGATTTGATCCACGAAAAAAGGTTTCGCTTTGTTTATAAACGCCGTAGAACTCATGGGATTTTTAGATTCTAGAGGTAAAGACCCTAATCCAAACTTGTTTGCCATTTTTATTGAGTTAAATTTATTATAATTTCTTCAAACTTTTCTCCCAAACTCAACCGATATAAAACCCAAGGGACAGCTGACCATACAGCTTTTGTCCTGGCATTTGAATTTGAAACGTAGAACATTTGATTGGTTTGCTAGTCAATTTCGTTATCTCTTCTGTCGGTTCTAGACCGAAAGAATCAAAGAAATAAAAGTTATTCGAAAAATCTTTGTGTAGAGCAGAGTGATGAACTCCTTTTTGATCCGACGTGTGAATGTTTCTTGTATTTCAGTTCATCAATTTCATCTCGCATGCAATAATAAAACGGCGAGACGTTCAACTCCTTGGCCCATTTCACTAGTTTGTGGTCGTGTCTTTTCCGTATTTATCGAGAAATGCATTCATTTTTTAAGTTGATTTTTTTAGTTGTTTTTCGAAGTAGGCGGAAAGTATTGCTGAAGACCCAATTGACGAAATATATACGTAGTTTGTGTTTGAAAAAACTTGTATAACATTCTGATAAAACACATTCAATAATATTTTGAAGATAAATTTACATTTAAATTTAAAAAATCTTAATTTAAGAGAGCGTAAATGCTTGTCGACATCTAAATTTCTTAACCTTTCATCTAAATCTTCATTTTAGAGATTCATTTTTAAAAGTCAGTTTTTTGAAGTTCATTTTGATAAAACCTTCCTATGATTTGTTCTTTGTCTTGATTGATCAATTCATACGTGGGAGGTGATGTGTTGTTTACTTTATCAACGATGAATATCTCGTTAGTCCAATAGCCGACGTAACCTTTCTGAAACAATGATTTATATTTAAAAATACGAACTCGATCTCCAACTTTGAATTTGGGTTTAATATTCAAATTGCTAATCTCGTTTTCAAAGTTGTTTCGAGTGTTGACGGACTTTATGATATTCGGGTTATTAGAGGCTTGCGATGGCGTCACACCTATAGACGAATGTATTTTGTTATTGTATTCGTCGACAACAACTGGTAATATTTTAAGCCATTTTTGAGATTTCAATTCCGTGAATTTCTCGAATAATTTGCTTTTAAGAGTCCTGTTGAATCTTTCTATCACTACGGCTTTACCTTCGTTATGCGTGCTGTAAATTTCAAACCCCAGAGATTTCACATTTCTGTTGTAGAATTCGCTTCCTTTATCAACCCACAACTTTAGGGGTCGTCTGTCGGATTGTTTCATTATGGTTTCGAATGCTTGTTTGACAGTCAGACCCGATTTGTTTTTCAAGGGAAAGACCCAAGCGTATCTCGTGTATATGTCGATCACCGTCAAACAATACTTGTACCCTCTCTCGACTGGCATGTTGATTAAATGGGCTGACCAAATTTCATCTTTATCAAAAACTTTGACTTTGAGGTAATGTTTGTTTTTTCGAAATTCTTTGTGAATCTCGTCTGCTATGCCCATACCCATTTCAATTTTGCCTTCAAGAGTTTTATGATATGAGCCCTTTGTAATTTCTCTTTGAAAGTGGGATTGGGAATATTTTCGAGTTCGTCTATCATTTGTTTGTCTGCTTGGTGTCTGAATGTTACGTCTTTATTTCTGTACAGTATGTCGTGTTTGAGCGCTGCTGCGTCAACTCTATTAACGGGTTCTTCCCCTGGTTGGGATTATCATTTTCGTCTAAACGCAGATCTAACCTAGTGCCTGGACCTGTATAATTGTGCCCTGGGAGATGTTTTTCTCCGGGATATTTTGCCCATGGAAATCCAGGAAGAGAACCCAATGACTTTTGAATGTCTCCCGCACCGAAATACGTTTTAGGAGGATTGACATTTATTAAAGACATAATTTGTTCAATAAACACCATATATTTTTAATACGAAAGATTTAATACAAGGAGGAAATTTGTTGTTTGAGACAAAATTGGCCACTTTGGGGATGAGAGATGTTAGCGCAGAGAAGAAACCGTCTCCTTCGAATTTTTTTTGTTCGTGTTTTAAAATTAAAGACATTTTTAATGCGGTTATTTTTTACTGTATTATTATAGTGATTCTTGTCTGTGGTTTGGGTAATTTATATGGAGTCTGTTATAATACAGTTTGGGGAGTCTGTTATAATACATTTTTAACAGTTTGGGGAGTCTGTTATAATACATTTTAACAGTTGTGTCTTTTCGGATATGATGCATTGAAAAATCTGCCCATGCGCAGAAGTGAAATGCGTCATATCCGAAAAGACATATACTACTACGAGCGTTTTAAGAACAAGGACAATCTCTCAGGAACTGTGCCTTGTAGAGTGTTTACAAACGAGCAACTGTGGACGGACGGACGGACATGGGAGACGACACCCCCCCCCCCCTCCCATGTCATGTTATATAAAAAGTAGCCTATAATAACTCTTGTTGTCATTCAATTCGAGGTTTTATAAACTTGTCACATCGTTATAGTTTGTTGCAATCATGTGATAGTTGACGTCACTAATCACGAAGGGCCTTTTAATGCATAAATTGCAGGAGCCACATACGTCTGATCGAAAATTGGAATGATAGACTACAAATCGATGCTATAATATCAGCGTTCCCCAATAAACATATAACATTTAGAAACCTCTTTAAAATCCCTTGGAGTGAAATTCTTAACTTTTGAAATGATGTCAAAAATTGGATTCATTATCATTATTTTGCTAGTGGAATATTAATTTAACTTATTTCAAAATAAAATCTGAAAAAATTCACAAAATTTTAATCTAAGCCCTTCATATTTATAGGCCTACGTCTCTTTTCACTCTTAGGTCACTCTCAAATAACTTTCATGCCTTGGTGCTTAATATCATAACTATTTGGTAGACCTAATAGGCCTATCGTTAATTGATAAAATGATCTTTAAGTAGATATTTATTTATGGAAAAATCATTACGTACGCCTGTGATTCAAGTTACGCGCGCCTGTGTCATTTCTCCACTGTGGAAATAATAATTACCCATAATTCAATTGTGTTTTCAAGATGGAGGCTTTAGCCAAACACGATTTTAACGCGACGGCTGAAGATGAGCTAAGTTTTAAGAAAACCACCGTAGTAAAGGTAAACTTTATGAGTGTGTTTTTATGCAATTTTACCTAGTTCAGTTGTTAAGCAAAACCTTGTATCAATTTCATTCTGAAGTTTGACAGACGATAATGATAACCACTCCTTGAATGTTTCTTCTTGTACCACAACACAGAAATAAATTGTCAAGTTTTGTTATGATTTATAAGAGGCAAACCATAATAAAGAATCTTTTCGAACACTGTTTAGGTGTGAACATGTACTTTTGATATGTGATCTTCGATCTGTTTATTGTTATTGTTAATGTTTATAATTCATCTGGTAAGTTGGCCCTGATCAAACTCAATTTAACTCATGTCTTCTTGTAATGTTAAAATATAATTTTATATCAGTGACTCACTCATCAGTAGGATTATAATCTCTAAGGCTATTTAACTACATCATCAAGATAAAGTATGTCCAACTTACGATTTTCTTTTATAAATCCAGATAAAAACTTATGATTTACTGATAACCTTTAATAAGTTATCAAATTGGAATAATTTATCTTTAAATTTTTAGAATTTAAAACTCTTAATTCATAGACCAAGGGCCTATTAATAGCTGTTTTATTAGGTATTAATAAAAGAATTGACTTGGATTTTAAAGTTTGGATTTTAATCGGATGTTTTTTTTTAACCAATTTCAAAGTTCATAAACTGTTAAAAAGTGTAAGATGTCAAATATCCATGCATTGCCTTCAGCTGTTAAAACACAAAGCTTGAGAGCATTTTCTGTTAAAAATGCATTTGAAGTACATTATTTGTATATAATTGTTAGATTTTGAGTACAAATGATGATAAAAATTGGTATAAAGCAGAAATAAATGGTAAAGAAGGATATATTCCACATAATTATATAGAATTCTCCACTACATCGTAAGTACCGTACACTAGTTTAAACCTTTTATAAACTGGGGTATTGATATTGAAAATTATTTTTTTTATTTTGCTCAATTATTATGATGAAAATGTTTAGTAGAAAGGTGATGGAAATATTTGTGGAACAATATTACACATCTTTATCAATTATACTTGTAATTGAAATAAAACATTAATATTTTCACATTCTAGTATCAAACTTTACTAATACTGTTTTTTTCTTCTTAATTTTATAAGACATGAATATTGTAGGTGGTTTCATGGTAAAATATCACGAGCAAAAGCAGAAGAAATTTTAATGAGACCAGAACATCCAGATGGCGCATTTCTAGTTCGAGATAGTGAAAGTTCGCCTGGAGAATTCTCAATATCAGTCAAGTTAGTTCTGTTGTTGTTTTTTTTTGATAATCAGTATATAAACTTACATTCAATTAATTATAGATATACTTCTTACTTCCTGGTACAAAATTTTATTACAATTGGAAATGAATTGTAGAAAAGAATTTATTTCCTTAAATTTATTTCGATTTGTTTTACATAACCGATTCAGTAGAATTTCTAGTTGATTACTTTCATATTTCTCAGATCGTTCTCACAACTAGAAAAATCTGAGAGAAACTGGGTTACGACAGCTTCAAAGACACTCTCCTCAGTGACTGTATTTGGTCAACATGATCTGAGCTGAGACTAGATAACTAAAGTTCAATCTTGTTTTTTGTTTTTGTACGCCCGTATTATAATGTGGTCGTATATTGTCGATGCCCCTGTCCGTTAGTCCGTCCACAATTGGCCCGTGAACGTAATAGAAACAACAGTTTTTATCTGATTCTAATGGAATTTTGGTATTTATAATGATGAGATCTTGGACAAGTTCGATTTTGGCTATCTTTCGATGAAGGGTTTTTAAGTTACTGAAATTTGTTGTAATCAATTATAATGATCAGATCTTGAGACAAATTCGAACTTGACAATCTTTTGATGAATGTTTTTGAGTTATTGCCCTTGCGTCAAAATTTGTTTGTGAACACAATAGAGACTACAGTTTTCATCAGATTTAAATGAAATTTGGTGTGATCGTTTCTAATGATGAAATCTTAGTCAAGAATTCGAGTTGTAGTAAAGACGCATCAACATTTGTCAGCTTGTTAACGCGATAATAGAGGCGACAGTTTATATCCGAATTTTGTGTTTGATTAAATCAACTATATCTTACACAAATTAGTTTTTGGTATGATTTGACACAGATTGGTGACCGCCCTTGAAATACTAAAAATGTATGAGGAAAGTAGGCGTATCTAGCTAGGCAACCATTTGTTACTTTACATTAAGAATTGATTTTGGCAGGTAGGAATTTGATAGCAATTCCAAGTAGTCTGGTAATTTTTCCACTGCGACAGATTTGATGAGATTCTTTACATAGCCGTCTATTTTAATGTATTTTGGTTTAGGTTTGGTGACAGCGTACAACATTTTAAAGTATTACGAGATGGAGCTGGTCATTATTATTTATGGGTTGTTAAATTTGATTCTATAAATCAATTAATAGATTATCATCGTCAGTCATCTGTGAGCAGAACTCAAAATATAATATTAAAGGACATGGTTTCTCCTTCAACTGTATGTATTGTATTATTCAATTTTATCCTTCACAAGTATTATATGTTATCATTGTTGTCATACAAATTAGATGAAGACTGAAAGAATCGAAGGAAAGCATGTTGTTAGCTTTAGACATCCTTCTAAGTAGGAAACCACCCCAGACCCACTTCATGTTTGTTGTAAACAAATGGTTAACACAAATGATCCGAATTTAAGGGTCAATTACCCCATTATGGGGGGTTGGTTTAAGTCTTGAATATATGTTAATAGTCTTCTTAATTCCTTTACAAATATCTATTATTTCTTTAGATGTCTTTTTGGTAGTATCTTAAAAAAAAAGACAACTTGTCTTTTTAATCTTGTAACGCAGATAATTCTGGACCTAACACAGATAATTCTGGACACACATGGTATCCATGTGATGAAAGTATTCAAAAAATGTTCCTTTAGTGAATTCTGCTTTAGCTAATTGCACATTTTGCACTTGGTTCAAGTTTTTGTCATTCAATAGTTAGTAAATAATAATAAAATCTATTTCATTTCATTTTAACTCCTTTAAACTGTTCGCTTGTTGACTTTCAGTTTCACTTGCATTTTCCTGCTATTAGTTTTATATTTTCTGGTGTTTTTCATTTCAGTCTGTGCAAGCTGCTTATGATTTTGAACCCCAAAACCCTGATGAATTAGCATTTAAAAAACATGATATTATTCGAGTGATAGAAAAGTTTGATCAAAACTGGTGGAAAGGTGAATTAAATGGCAAGATTGGAGTGTTTCCAGTTACCTATGTTAAAATAATACCTGTGTAAGAGTTATTGACCATCATAAAATTGTGAAAACTTCCCTTTTTATTCTGGTTATCAAGGTTGAACCTTTTGTTTGTGCAATTATATCAATTGTCGTGGCAGAATTATTTTAATTTCAGTATCGCAGCATTATTAGAGTATAATGCAGAATGAATTGTTTTATTTACTTGCTTGCCTCAAAAAATCAGAAGAATATGGAGCAGAATCTGTGATTTTTTTATATGTTATGTAGATCAAATGTTATGTTATTAAGTAAATGTTTACAAAAGTATGTTAAAATTTAGTATTGATAGACTATTATTTGAAAAATCAAAATATTCAGCAAAATAGGCTTAAATTAATTTACTATGTAAACATTGACAAGCAGTCAATCTCTTCAGTAGAAAATGATATTATAAATAAATCTAAAGTATATTTAATATTGGTTCCTTATTCCATGAATTAACTCAAGCACACTCGACGGCTAATTTATTGGTTAAATGGTTGTAAAATGAAACGTGGTCAAATGGAAGACCAGGGCTGTGATGTAACTTAGCCTTTTATTAAGTCACAAAAGTATCATCTTATTCAAGTTCAACAATATTCAGGACTGGCATTGAATTATTTTGTTTAATGCTGTCAACTTTTTGATTATAAGATATGATGTTATAGTTAAATATAAGCACATATACATAGATACATCCTTGAGAGATAATCAAAAAAAGACATAGAATGTGACAGTAATGGAGAAGGAATATAAACCTATAAAATGAATACTAGTATGAATGAGTTACAAACTAACTAAATGTATGAATGATTGTAAATATTTATATATATATGGACATAAGTTGTTAAATATAAAAACCGTTTTGATGGAATCAAAGTAGCTTTATTCATTTTGAATTAATTTTTGCCAAGGGAGGTAATTGCTATTGATACCATAAGCTAGTCTCAATATGAACAATATTTATATCATTAATTAAGTATAACATCATTTCATAATGACTATTTTGATATGTTTTTAAAACTATATACTTTCTATACCTAATCGGGAGTACTGTGTTTTTGAATAGGTATTTTGAAGATTTTTAAAATAGAAGTATTTTTGATTTGTAAACTAATTCTTTTTGAAAATTAATTTAATGATAAAAGCTCATTATAATATATTGTTAAATGACTGTCAACTGTCAACCTGATGCATAATCAAAAATTTAATAAAATTATTCATTGATTTTTTCTCATTAACAATTAAGTATCTGAGAGAAAGGCAATTAATTTTAATAATGTTTTCTTTCACAAATCTAGAAACTGAAATAAAGTATGCAGGATTTATTATATTTGTTTATATGTTTATACTCTAAACAAAGGATACTGACATGACATAAATATTTGTATTGGTTTATGTATATTTTATCATTTAGTTGTGATTTATTAAGAACATTATTGTATTTTTTTCTAGTTAGCACCTGCCCATTGTTCTTCTATTAGCAATCATGCTTTCCTAATTTATCAAACCTGTAAGATTTGTATTTCTTTTCCTTGAATATTATTGAAAGGTTGCATAGATAGGATCCAAATTATGATATATAAGTTCAAAGTTCAGTGAATTAAAAACTGTATATCCACCTTTCATTATGATATGAAATTAAGAACATGAAATTTGTAGGTACATTAGATTTTTTGCAGCTTTGTAATTATTTTTCTCCTTTGAATACATAACACTCAACAATAAGTACGGCAGGTAGAAATTCATTGAGGGTAATATTGCATATATATTAATTCTCAAACTAAGTGTTGTGGTTCAGGTTTTTTTTTTTATCTTATTACGCTAGCTCTACCTACAAGCTAGTGAATCATGTATGTTATAAAAAATCTGCTATCTTCATCTTACTTTGCTTCAATTTTAACAGAAGTTTTAGTACATAAGTTTATTTTAAAATCCTGCACAAGAGCTTTTCATTTCCATATATTAAAATAAACTATTCAAGGCTATAGCATGGACTTCATTCACAATTCATTGCTCAAAATCATTGTTACAAATAACTAAAGGTAACTTATAACAATAAATCAAAACAATGGCAATGACAATATTCTTCTGTCTTCTATAATCTTTAGTTTTCCCATGTTATAGCTATACTCAAATGTGCCTATCCATGTTCTAGGATTTTGTAATTTAAATGCTTCAATTGTATCTGTATCAATGATATCAGTATTATTTTGTATAGGATTATTGTTTATAATTTAGTTTTGTAGTTAGGCCTAAAATAACAATCTTTGTATAATTAAGTTTTCGATAGGAAATAATCTACATTATGTTTCAGTGATGCCTATTCCTATGATTCTATTCCTGTGAGATAACCCAATCAAGAAGAATCATTTATTATTAGTGAAACGATACGTAGTTGTTTTCAGTTAATATCCTTGATGAATATAAGATATCCCAGATAAATTGAAGGTATGGATCGTCAGGTTTTTACAAATTAGTCCATCCTACATGAAGAAGGTTGTCTTGTACATGTTCATTAAAATCGAATTACATGATAAAAGTCTTAAAAGCTAATTGAAGCTATCATTTCATTTAATGACCAACTCAAATTGTAAAAGCAGATAAATTCTATAATTGTTTCTTTTCACACCTGTAAAGAGATGTGGCTTTTATGTTATATTGACGATGAAAAATGTTGTGATTCAGTAAAGAATTAATGTATTTAGTACAGTAACTTTTTTAAAACTTTGTTATATATATATATTATATCATTGTGTTGTTATAGGCAATCTGTAGCTTTTACCTATACATGTATATTATAGCTTGGCTTCCTAATAAACTATCAAAATAATATTTTGTTGTGTAAATCTTTCTTTATATGAGTAAATTTAGCTACCAGATTATGGAGCAATGAACCATCACTGATGACAAAGGTAGTAATATCCGATTGATTTTTTTACTTTTGATCTTTAATATTGATTCCACTTGTTTTATGAGAGATGCTTGATCTTGATATAAATTCAACATTTCCCCAAATCAAAATTTTTAAAAATAAAGCAATAACTTCCTAAATAAATGAGAAGTCTGTATGAGGAGCTGAAAAGTACAAAAATCTTTGCCTCACAAAATATCATTTCCTGCTAAGGGATACACAGCCTGTAGCACAAAAGGCCAAAGTTTATTGTCCCATTATCCAAATCTAAAGGTATTACATCGATCCATATCAGCATTACCTTCAGGTTAGCAAGCAAGCGTCTAACTCACTGAATTACTGCTAAACCGAACCATAATATACACATTATCTTAGGTGTAAATTGTAGTTCTACACAGCCAATCACCCGCTCTGACTGATTATGGTCACATGTAACTTGAAGGAGCAAAATCATTTATTAACAAGAATTATTTACATAGAAATCTCCACCCACCCTTACTTCTTTTTTCCTTTTTTTTTATTCTTAGATTTACTTTTGTGTCCTCTTTTTTTCTTGTTTTTAACTTTACATTCAATCTTATTTGTTATCATTTTGTGCTTCTCTTCTAAAATCTTTATATGTTCCATTCTGAAATTCATGAAAGATATACATAACTATTGGTTAGATATCTTTCCAGGAGACCCCAATTCAGCTATCAAGAAACATTTCTAAAATTCTACTACAGATCTTTGATCTACATGTACTCACAAAAGAAAGTTTGACCTCAAACTGAAAGATCTTTTAGAAATAATGAAATGTAAGTAAAGATGCATCCACAAGTCAAAAATATTTCATTGATTTAAATAATAATGTACCTTTTTTTCATTGCCGTTTTATGTTTTGTTAACTCTTTAACATCTTGACCTTGAAGTTTATTGTTACATAACCAATCATCAGCATCATCATTTGTCTAAAACACAATACTAACACATTCTATTCTTTTTACAGCATCATTGATAATAAAGTATATTTAACATTGCCAAAAAAAAATTCTATGCAGTAATATTCAGTACAGAAAGACAACAAAATTATGACTTAATCAAATGCCACAATTAAGAATAAAGAATCTATTACTTTTACCGTATTAATTACATTGTTATGAAACCTTTCTTCTTTGGGTACGTTTGGTAACATAATAACCAAAGGTCTAATTTCTGAATGACATTTCTCAGTTGATCTTTATGGATCGAATAATTTCTGAATGACACTTTTCAGTTCATCTTTATAGATCGAATAATGCCTGAATATTAGTTAATAGCATGGATTTTTCCTAAATTTTCTTCAAAAACAAGATACTGAGTGAAAGAACTCACAGAATTTTTACCCAATCTCAGTCCACAACCTCCTGAGAAATCAATTTCTGCTATATCTGTTATAGTTACTGTATGCTCTGGTAAATCAACTACTGTAGGTTCTATTAGTTCTTCTACTTCTGGTTTAGTATCTGGTTCCAGATGAGCTTTAGATAAAAATTCTTTGGTCTGAAAGTATGATGGTATAGTAGTAAGACATGAGTTTTGACTAAGATTGTGATCTTTTAAGAAGTACCACAAGATAACTCTTGAAAATAGGCCATACAAAAATCAAAAGAATCCATAAAGAATTGTTACCTGAAGAGTAAGCAAAAGTTGCCCTATATGGTTAATACTAATAGAGTGAATACACTAAGTTGAAAACGACATTCCGGTGAAAAATTATCAGATCATCACAAAAATTGATAGGGATCATCTCCATAATGACATTGACGCAAAAAATCAAAATGAATGAGCACAAGCCAAATGTGAATGTGTGTGTGTGTGTGGCTGTATAAAAAATCCATATATTTCATTTAGACCCCTTCTTAATCTCTAAGAAACCTAAACAATCTTACCTCAAGCACCATGAGAATTTCATTCAAGCAAATTGATTCAATGATTTTGCTAAAATGATGTCCTATCAGTTGGTAAAGCCAATAATGAAACAACCATGATCCTTTATCATAAACAATTATTGTCTCTAAAGTATATGAAGAAACCAAAACAAATCTAACTCTTCCCAGATGATATCATTTAACATCTAGTCCTTTTCTCTAAACTTACCTCTTTCTTAAACTCATGTCTTTCATTTCTTATCTTATTTTCTAATTTTTCTTTATAATAATTCTGTCTTTCCTTCTTTCTTCTTCTGAACCCAGTTAAATATTCCCTGTAATAATATAGAAATGTATTTTGTACAAATGATCAGCCACTTACCAATCTTACCATTCAGTATCTGACACTTGCTGATTTTACATCTACTCTCTGACACTGTTTTTGGACTTGAAATTTGGCAATAATTCTCACATGAATTGAAATATGAACTTGAAAAAAAAATTGTCTTTAAGTTGTGGAAAATGTTAACTATTGGAAAAGTTAACATGACTTTATAGAGGGGAATTTTTAATCTGAAAAGTAGCAAGTAGGTCATTATCACATGAATTTTCTGGGAGAGAAGTGTCTCTATTTCTAATGAAAAATCACTGACCCTTATATTACTACGGACATTCTATGACAATTGGCAAGTTGAAAATATTTATTTTGAATATGAAATGAGAGAAAAAATTCAATTCAAAGCTTATTGTAGTACAGTCAAGTAACCTTATTTCATGTGAACCTAATTTTGTGTGTCTTTGGAAATGATAAATAATTTACATACGTGCAACCTCGCGTAACTTCCGCATTTGCATGTTTAGATAAAATGTGTTATTTCTACAACATCAACCTGCAGAATTTTTCCTATCATCTCCGGAAATGATTAATAATTTACATTTGCGACCTCACGTGACCTCCATATTTGCTTGTTTTGATAAACATGGGGGTTGTTTGTACAATGTCAGCTAGTAGAATGAATCCAGTAGTTTCAAGCAAGGTAAAATGTACTAATGTATACTTTGACAAAAACAAAATGGCAGATTTCAGTTATTACCAAACGTCACCATTTTTTATCAGCCGAATTTCCTTATAATCTCAAGCTGTGTTCAGAATTCCAAGTGTAGTCTGCTAGAATGTAGTCCATTGAACAAAGTCACGTGACAAACTAGCTGATTCCATGTCAGCAGAAAACACAACGTGGGTCAGTCAGTCACTATTTTTCTTATAAATCATGGTTCTTTGAAGGAATTGTCATTAGGTATAATGAAATATTATTAAAGATAAATACTAAGAGAAGTTAATTAAACCACTGGGTATCCATACATTGTGTTTTTCTCAAATTATTTACAGTGGTGTAACCTATTTTCGTGGATATAAGGATTCAACACCGAATTTCGTCAAAGTTAAAAAAACGAAAAAAAAAATTTATGTCTTAGATGTTTCCTCAGATATTCTACAAAATAATACAAATTGGTTTCTTTCGATTTTCTTAATGAATCCTTCACTTTGACCCATATTTCATGAGCAACCAACTCGGGAACGGCGGCAGAATGCGTCACCTATTTTCGTGTACAATGTTTGATCTATAAATAAGTCTAGATAAACACGTTGTATGGATATCGGGTGGTATAATTAACTTCTCTTAGTATTTATCTTTAATATCAATTCATTATAACTAGTGACAATTCATTCAAAGAACCACGATTTAAAAAAAAAATAGTGACTGACAAAATAAGATACGTAGCGTGATTTATTGCTAAAAGTCACTGAAACAACATAAGAATATGGTCCACTTTGTGTTCCATAGAAATTTTCTGCTGACACGGAATTCGCTAGTTGATCACGTGACTTCATTCGTTGGATTATATTTTAGCAGACGACATTTGGAATTCCGATTACCGCTCGGGATTATAATGAAATTCAGCCGATAAAAAATGGTGACGTTTGGTAATAAGTGAAATCCGCCATTTTGTATTTTTCAAAGTATACATTAATACATTTTACCTTGCTTGCAACTACTGGATTCATTCTACTAGCTGATATTGTAGAGAAAACCCATGTTTATTAGAACAGACTAATGCAGAGGTAGCGCAAGGTCGCTCACGTAAATTGTTAATCATTTCCGAAAATCCACGAATAACAGGTTTCCACGAAATTAGGTTACTCGACTGTACTACAGATCAATTGGTTACTCATAAAAAAAAAGAAATTCGGTGTTGAATATAAAACCGTCTTCCTGTATCAATGTTAATTAACAATGAACATACCTTCTTCGTTTCTCATCAAACACTAAGAGTAGTTTTGTTTCTCTATTTTTTCTGGTAAATTTTGATTTCTTTTTATAAGATTTGACTTCTTCATATTCCTCCATGCTTATTTTTATTTACAACATTTTATTTGGTTTTACAAGATTGAAAACGTTTTCAAGGGACGTAATGCAATTTAGAAAAAGAAGACCACTTTAGTCTATAGAGACTCTATATACACGACACTGGTAGCTTGAAAGTATAGTACTTAGGCCTATTTGAAATATTGTTTTCTTTGGAAACGGAAGGAATCGATTTTATTATCATTAACTGGCCCATATACAAACCTCTTAGTCTTTGTAGTGCACGACAAAGAACCAGTCCAACAAAACGAGACACAAAATTAAGATGTGCATAGTGATTCGAGCAATGTTAAAATAAAATTTAATATGGAAAATTCAATTTTAGGGAAGCAAATTTCCGCATTTTTAAAGTTAAAGTAGGTTAATATTATTTCCAAATTTATTAGGTGTAACAATTTTGCCGACAAGATAGCTTGCGAGGCAAGGTAGGGCTTATCATATGCTCACTTGCAGCTGTCAGAAATAACAGTCTTTAGTGACTAATATACGAATTTAATTATTTTAAATATCTTCATAATGCATTTGTTGTTTTCATAGCCAATATATATAAAATTTACTTTCAATTTTTTATGCTAAGTTTTTCCACAAAATATTTTCAAATCAATAGCAATAACCCAAATAAAGAAAATTACCAAAATTATACTTCTCTGATTTTTTTTTCAAATTTTTAAAGATATTCTATAATTCAAGGAAATAATGTAAAAGTCATTCATCGAAAAATCGTCGAATTCGAACTTGACTAAATTATCATCATTATAAGCCAAATCATGACACCAAATTCATAAAATCAGATGACACCTATAGTCTCTAATAAGACCGAAATATCAACCAGCCTCTGAAAGCTATTTTGAAAGTTGTCGGTTGGAAGAGACAGAATGACTAAGCTTGGTTTCGTGAATTTTTCCGCAGCTCTGAAGGTGCTGGTTTTTATCCTACTTATTTGAATCGTTGGTGTGAACCAACAAATATTCGGAAAGATAGTTGTTTTTGTTGTTCAGTCATGCAATCATATTTTTTTTTAACGAAACTGATCTCTCGTTGGCCATTTAAAACTGCATGCCAAAAGTTCAAGGCTCACAAGAGTCACGTGATACTAACAAAACGAAAGATATGGTGATGTCCAACATTTATTTACAGTCAACGTAGAGGTAATTTAATATTAGGCCTATGTTAAAAAAACACAAATCTTCGTGTAGGTGTGGAAAATCAGAGCCTAATTTTTCTGCCTATAGGCTACTCTAGTTGTCAAAATATCTATCAGAGGCTGGAATAGCCGGATGTTTCGGACTAGTCTCTAATTAGCTCACAAACACATTTTTACTAAGTTGAGGACAATAACATCAAAAACTTTTCATCGAAAAATCATAAATTTGAACTTGATCTTATTAATATTTAATGATCACACCAAATTTTTCATTAAAATCCATTGAAAATTGTAACTTCTATTGAGCTCACAAAAACATTTGACTCGTTTTCAAGGGCAATAACATCAATTACTGTAAAATTTAGCAAAATGAAACTCACACCAATTTTATTTATTAAAATCAGATGAAAACTGTGTTCTCTATTCTGCTCGCGGTTGCTCAGTGAGTTAGACGCTCGCTCGCTAACCCGAAGATCCAGGGTTCAATCCCGGCATAGGTCGAGATAATACCTTCGGATTTTTCCCCCTGTCGTTCGGATGGGACAATAAACCGAGGCCCCGTGCGCTACAGGCTGTGCACGTTAAAGATACCTCGACAGTTGGAAATCGAAAAAGAGCAGGCTAATGTCCCCGTCCTAGCAAAATTTCCCTCATTGCACCCTGCATGGCGTTGCCCGTCTTCATTAGCCCACATGGTGTAGAAATGTAGGACGTAAAACTCCATTTATTCATTCATTCATTCTGCTCTAGAACAGACCCGTTTTTAGTGTCTATAAAACTAAGACATAAGATCTAAGACTCTATAAAACTAAGACCCAACTAGGAAAGTAAGACCCAACAAGAAAGAAGAAAAAAAGTTTTTTTGAACTTGATTCACCGGTGTGTGTAGTAGATGTAAGGTGTTCAGCATTTTTGAGTCGTCTTTTCAAAAGTACAAAGATACGATTCATAAAAAAATGGTCTGGCCACTTAAATCTATGCCACACACTATAGTAAAACACGCTCAAAAACATTATTTTTCAGTTTCTAGTTGGGTCTTAGTTTTATAGTCCTGTGGGTCTTAATTTTCTAGATGGGTCTTAGGCTACTTTTATAGTTCTATGGGTCTTAGTTTTATAGTTGGATTTCAGTTTCATCGTGCTTTGGGTCTTAGTTTTATAGTCCTATGGGTCTTAGTTTTATAGAGTCTTGGGTCAAGGCAAACATAAAAACCTGGGTATCGATATATTGTACATTGAGGGTAGCTCTAAGAGAGATAATTGTAGGCTTATTTCATGTTGCTAAAATAGTTTGAACAATTATTGCATTATTCAGAGTCAGAGAAGAATAACTTGTGTTTATTTCCTTTTAATTGTCGTGTCAATCTTAAAAAAAAAAACGGCAGTGGCTATTTACCACTGATGTGGTAAGCGTGGTAAATAGTCATGAGTACCCTTACAGTTATATACCACGGCGTGGTAACTTGTTAAATTAAGCAAATGTCACCATATTAGTCTATGGAGAGAAAACGTGGTATTTAAATTTTACCACGTTTTTTTTTCATTTGTTGGATTTCATCCAATTTTTTTGAATATTTAAAAAAATCACACTTTTTAAGTTTCAAAAATATAAATATTGTGCACATTTCACATTGTTAGCTCACTCAAATAAGCATTTTAATATCACTAGCGAAGGAAAATATCCGCCATATTTAATATCGGTGACTGTGGGTTTCGGGCATTTTGGACGCTAAATTTCACAGTCCAAAACATCTCTACAATCGCCATATGATGTGAACCAAATCCGTATATACACGACTCTGATGTGAACCATAAGGATTGCGTCAGCAATTTGTTTATATATACATTTTAAAGCTATACTTTTGACAGACTTTTATTGAATTTTTAAATTCCAAGCTATAATATTGTATATTCCTGGTTCCCAGTCTGGGTTTCGTTTCATCCCCTGAGGTGTAAGGTGCGACTAACTATTGTAGGACAAGAATTATAAAGTTTCAGCATTTCTGGTGCCTTCAACACGACAAACCCAAGCGAACCTCGACACTTTAGCCATAAAAACTAAAGCCAGGAGACTCAATGCGGCCGATGATTATCGTAGGATTTGTCGACATTGTTCCTATATTTGGACTGCTGTTGCAAGGAAAACAACATCTAATTTGATATGAGTGATTATTATGAATGATTTTCATTGTTTTGATTGTTATGGAAATGAGTTCAGCCTGTAGCGTGAAAATACTCGAGAAGGCACAATTCTTAACGATTTGGACGACACTTAGTGAAATCACCGAACGATGAACCCTATCACAATATAACTTGTTCTTTAGCTAGTAAATGTAAAAGGCACAATTATTGATAAATTTAGATAAATTTACATAAAACTTGATAAAAACCATTTAGAAACCTCATTAAAAGTGTTGAAAATTATGTAATTAGTTATTTTCCTTGTTTTTTGAAAAGCGTTCTATTTCAAGCTTGAACACACTCTTACAGTTCGTGGCAGATTTGGACGGAATTATTAATTTTTATGGAGTTAACGTCCTACTTTTCTGTTTCACTTAAAGAAGAGCCGTATACAAAACCAAAAAAACGTTTGAAAGAAGTGTATGGCAAAGGGTTGAATATAATGAACTGGTGATGGGTTCGGTTCTGCCAAATGTTTAACATCGCCCAAGGATGAACCATATTGAAAAAAATGGGAAATATCAAATATGAGGTATTGCCCTTGTTTTTCGAAATTTAATTTAAACAAAGCTGGCAAATGTTACATTGCCTGAAAAACTATCTTATACTCGACTGACTCCCTCTTTTTAGCTAACTGAATTGTTTGTTTCCAGACGTCAAGAAAGATACAGATATTGACTTTAGTATGTAGTCTAGGTCAGTAATAATACATAGAATAATGTCTAAATGGCATTTAGCAATTGTGAGTACGATATATAGACACAGCTTAATGGAACAACAATCACTGGTTAAAGTTTTATGCAACGTTTTGAAGACGGTCAGTTGAAGACATGCGTGTACAGGAAACCTACACATACAGATCAGTTTGTGAACTACCATTCCAACACCCCTCAACATGTCAAAAGGGCAGCCATCACAGCACTGGTCAGAAGAGCGAAAAGGATTTGTGACCCAGAATACTTTCAACAAGAATTACAACATATCAAGAAAGTATTTTTCTTGCACAACAACTACCCCCCAACCTTTGTACATCAAGCTTTTCAATCAGTATTAATGGCAAAACCAACCAACCAACAGCCTAATCCCAATAGACCATCAACCCGCTTAGCTATCTGCTGTGGCTGAACATCTTGCTATGGGAAGGAAAACAGGAGATAAAGTCAACTTTGACAACAACAACATACTGACAATCAATAAGCACATAGATAAAATCAGGAGACTTCATGAAGGTATCCAAATCAGAAGATACCAGTCTGACCTTAACAGAGATGAAGGTGTTCGTTTATCGCATGTATATGATAAACTTATCAACTTGTAATCATTCATATTCATAAATGTATCCAATTTAATAAACATTTTCAACTTTAACCATAGTTATTTAAAACAATATAATTTCTATTAATAAAAGACTCCAATACCAGCAATAGTTGTTTATGTCATCTTCAATTAATCTTTTTTAATTCATTTACTTTATTTCAATTATTTTACTTAATCAGCCTGTATGTTATTCTAAGAATTATGTACCTCTTATTGTACCTGTTAAAATTTAATGTAATGTATCAATAAACCATTTATCTCTTGTGTGTTCTAAATAATAAGCATTAATGTATATATAGTTTGCCCATCACTTCTTCTCATTATGTGCCTGAGGACGACGGGG